GTGCTGTATGCCTGGTCCCCCAAGGAAGAGGCTTGGTTTGGGGTTCCACGGGGAGAAAAATCAATGGCTGTTAAAGACACCTGCTTGTGGTATTCATTTACACGGGAACAGTCATCAACAAAACCAGGGGAGATCTAGGGGAATTTCAGGGTTCTGATTTGGGCGGATGGATGGATGGAAGTGCCAAGTACAAAGATGACAGGGTCTTGGGGCAGAATGAGACAAAAGTTTGAAAAAGGTACTTGTAGGTGCATGTGGTCATTGAGGGGGAGATGCCCGGGGGCAGGAGTGTCCAGAGAGAAAAATGTATCATGGTAGTTAAAAGGGCAAAGGGGTAGGGTCTGGAGCCTGCTGCTTCGTCGGTGGTGAAAGTGTAAGGGGAGCCCACAAACGTAACCGAGGACGGAACGTGAGGAGGTGGGTAGGCAGAGGCCAGGAACGAGGCTGCTGCAGAGTTTCAAGAGAGCCAAATGCCCTAAGGACAGTCACGTGAGAAAATGAGGAAGGTGTCCATTGGGTCTGGCCTTCAGGGGCATGGGCCTGGCCCTAGTGTGGGGCAGTGAGTGACAGCATATGTAAGGTGACCAGATTTTAACCTTGGCAAAGTGGGACACCATTGATAAAACTCATATCCTGGTGAAATAGCCACATGGCAGCCGAAAACCATATACCCTAGCTTGTCGTGCATTCTTTCAAAAAATTGGGACTTTTAAAAAACGCGGGACGCAGGAAAAATTGTTAAAAATCCGGACTGTCCCGCCAAAATTGGGACGTCTGGTCACCTTAATCATGTGGCCCTTTTAGCCATAATCCACCATGTTCTGATCCCCACCCTCTGTAACAGCTCCAGATTAGAGTGTGGTCTATTATGCTAATGAGGCACCATGACTGGAGGGTGTGGCTCAAGGCCTCCCTCTTCCTTTCCTTGGGGAAACATACTATCTGATGCCTGGGTCAAAACAGGAACTTCCTGCTTCATGCTGCACAGGAGCCCTGGTGGCACAGTGGGTTATGTGCTGGGCTGTGAACCACGGCGTAACCAGCTGCTCCGAGGGAGCGGGATGAGGCTTTCCCCTGCAGTAGAGATTGACAAGGTCAGGAACCCACAAAGGCAGCTCTACGCTGTCCTGTAGGGGTCGCTGTGAGCCAGAAGGGACTCAATGGGAGTTGAATTTGGGTGTTTTATTAGGCAAACCACCAGCTTCCTGTTTCATTAAGAAAAGCAGGTGGCTGGGATCATGGAATTGGCCGAGGCTAGATATGGCTGGCCAAATACGCACAGCAATCACCACGTACCCTCATCCGGACCTTGATATCAGGAGGCTGACAGCACACCTCCATCACTACTCCAAACATGGGCAAAATGCCATTTCTGTTGATCCCCCTTTCTGAGTAAGGGTGTGCAGACGTCTGGTTCTTGTGCTAAATCACTCGGACAAACACCAGTCAGATGCCAGTTCCTGCCCTAGAAGACCCCTGACCCAAGGCTCAGGAGCCATGCCGGTCATGCGAGGCCTCGTGTGCCCCCTGCTTAGCCAAACCAGTTGAGGCCTTTGCTGCGTGCAGTTTTGTAGCAGCTCTGTGGCCAGGCTGACCGCACTCTGGCAAAACGTGCTCCTTGCTCTGGATCCTGCATCTGGCTCATCTCCGTCTGATGCCAGTTCTCCAGACTTGAGCCAGCGGCCTATTGCCTGAGCGCATTTGCCAGCTTTCTTCCATCCTGTGAGTCAACAGCCCGTCTGCCCTCTGACTTGCCAATGTAGCATGGGTCAGGAGAATCTTCCAGATGAATGTCTGAACTACAGCTCTGGGACTTGCCAGGCTCCACTCTGCTCCACAGGAGCCCTTCCTCAACGGTTCGTGAGCTCTGTGAGACGGTGCAGTGGGCCGTGGGGCCTGGAGAGGTGAGAGAGACTATGTGGGCAGGCATGGTGGTCGGGATCAGAGATGATGGGGTAGAAAAGCGTTAGGAAACGTTGGATGTTTGGGGCATCTTTAACTTCCCCTTATAGCGACCACCCTTGTGCTCATTCTTCTTAAAAGAAATGACACATGCAGCCAGCCACCTGTATCTGTGGTCCTGGATGTATACAGCCACCTTTCTAGGTGAGGCCAAATCACCTGACGGATAGTGGAAGGAACGATGGTGTTTAACCTGGATTAGATGAGAGTCTTTAACCGGCCTTTCCGGAAGCCGAAAGAGCAAGAGTATGACAAAACCTGCAGTGGGTCCGAAACAGAACAAGGTTCTCAGTTTAGGGAGGCAGCATTTGTCCCTTAGAGGTAGGGGGCGCACAGATCTGTGCTTAGGGTAAGGAGATCATTTTATACCATCCTGAACAGTCTTGGAATGTGGTAGGCTGGCTGGGGAGGTGAGGGTCGAATCCACCCATTAGCTAGTCAGAGACCCGAATGCTATTAGCTATTTTAGTGACCCGTCCCGATCACAGGGAGAAGAAGAGGACAAAGACGCTGAGACCCTCCCTGGAGGGGTGTTGCGCCCAGGCTTACGAGAGCACGGGGCTGGAGTCAAGCCCCTGCCAGCCCCTACCTCCCCCAGGAGCAGTGCAATGCAGAGTCCGGCTGTCAGAAAGCATTCGTGTTACCGTTTGTTCCGATTCCTCCTTCACCAGCCTAAATGCTTAGGAATGTTAATGAGCCAGCACTGTGCTGAAGATGAGAGCCGCCAAAGATCACTGTGGCGTTTTGTCCTAGGAGGTAGCAGCGGCTAGACAGCTCACCATGTGACAAGTGCATATCCTTTCTGGACTCATTATCTAAAGAGGACAGAGTGTCCTTTCGGCTCCTTTTTGTCTCTCTTTCCCTTTTTTTTTTTGGTGACAGGTTTTTGTGCTCTGCACTTGTCCCTCCGGGTGGGCCCGGATCAGACAATGGTCTGGTGTAATAGCTGCACGCAGGACCACCTGTTTAAGGAAGAGGACACGATGACTAACCCTGCACTCGAGTCCTTCCCAGGCGCCTGGCACGGGTGGCTGTGCGTGGCAGACGCTCTCTGTGGCCTCAGGCTACAGTACCCCCACCCCTGCAAGCCCCCCTTCTCCTAGCCCGACAGACTCCATCACAGGAGCTGGAACCACGAAGTTCTTGTTTTCCCGGCCAGGCGTGGCCATGTGACACCATTCTGACCGAAGGGAAATACACAGTAGCTTGGCTGGGCACCACCAGCAGCTCTGCTGGAGAAAACGGGGCTTTCTACTCCTCTGAACAGTCTCCGAAACCCATGGGGGGGGGGTTGTCTCTGTGAGTCAGCATCGGGTCCACGGCAGTGCGTTGGTTGTTTGTTTTTATTCTCCTGGTCAAGAGGACAGACTCGGCTGGCAACCCACAACCACACTCACCGAATCGACTCCGACGCGCAGTGACACTGTAGCACAGGACAACGGCCCCTGTGAGTTTCCGAGGCTGTAACTCCGGCCGGAGTAGAAAGCCCCTTCTTTCTCTGTTGGCCCGTTTTAGCCTGTCTTAAATGGAGACGTGATGCGAGGACCTGCGGTAGCCTTGGGTGACCTTGAGGGAAAGGTCAAGCGAAGGACAGAAACCTTCCCCCTGACATCTCTAAGCCACTGAACTACAGCAGCAGCTGCCACCTTTTCTCCTGTTTGCAACCTGACGAACACAAGCCGTCACTATTTAGCTTCAGCGTGTTACTTACATCACCCTCCCTCCCTCGGCCTGGCAAGGCCACACGCCTCTGGGGCTCAGCAGGGGTAAGGGGCTCTCCTGGGCCATAGGGGAAGGAAGGGGTAGCTAGATGCACAGGATCGGAGCTCGGGACTGTGTGGAACTCTACCTCCGGCCCCTCCCACAGAGCCCATGGCCCTCACTCAGCTCCTTCCTTCGGCTCCTCTAGAGGGCCAAGGGGCCCATGGGTGGTGCTGTCCTGCTTCAAACTGAAGTCCCACTGCATTACCAAGAGCCCCTTCCAGTGTCATGGGAGATGGGCATCATGAGAAGAGGGGGCACCACGGTGCTGGGCCAAGGGCTCCCTGACTGTCTAAAGAGCATGTGCAGCACTGCACGAAGAGGTCACATTGCTCTCCAATGCAGCCGGGGGAGGAGGACGCATGGGACGGTAGCTGCAGCTGCGCACAGAGACGAGAAACCGAATGAAAAAGGTGTGAGGAAGTGTGACTGCAGACTTGGTTGAGATTTGAAACGTGCTTTCGAAGCTCTTATCTGTCCAGATGGCCGAGTGTCAGCCTGGGCCTGCTGTCAGCCACTGAAGCTACGAGGGGAGCCAGCTCAGCTCAGCGGGGAGGTGGGGCGGCACAGCCACGCCAACCATCACCTGCCCTCCGCAGGCTGCACTCCCACACCTGCACGGGAAAGGCCTTGGCTGCTCCGGAGGAAGACCTCACAGGCCTTTAGTCCTTACTCCTTTCCTTACTGGTCAGAGAAAAGAGAACTTGGAGTCCCAGGAACAGGCACCTGGGAGATCGATGGGTGACAGCCACACCTTTTACTCGCTGTGCCCATCTGTAAAATGAGGTCAGAACACCGACCTTGGCCACCTCAGAAGAACCCTACTGAACGATCAGCAGTTCAAGTCTACCAACCGAACTGAGGGAGGAAGATGAGGCTTTCCACTCCTATAAAGACGGGCAGCCTTGTGAACCCACGGGGCCGTTGCACTCTGATCTCTGGGTCCCTCTGAGTCGGAATTGACTGGATGGCAGTGGGGCTGGGGTTGGTTTTCGTCCAGCTCAGTGGCTGAGGGGAGACAAGATGAACTAATAAGGAATGGAATTAGAAGGTTAACTTTTAGATTATGGGTGAGACACAGGTAATGCCAGCCGTCACCACTGCTACTGATTCTACTGGAGTGGGTCCCGCACAACAACCAATATTCAGCCTTTTGAACTGAAAATGGGCAAGCCCCTCTGGTCAAACTCAGCTTCTTCCAGCTAGAAAAACACAGGGCAGGTCTGGTAATTTTTTATCATGTCTACTTTGGAAGGAGGCACTTTCTACTCCTATTGCCGGAAGCGTGGAAAAGGCCCTTGCCACAGTGTCTGGTTTACTTACTGATGGTCCCTAAGGGGCGTACGGAGATGCACTCTGAGTTTGCAGGGTTGCCCCTCACAGGAATGAGAGAAGAAAGCAAAGGTGGGACCAGGGTAGACCCAAGAACGAGACCCGTGACGCATTTGGAGCACGGGTCTCAGAGCCGACTGTGGAAGCCCGTGAATGCTGCCGGCAGAGTCATGGGGAGGGAGGCCAGGCAGGGGCTCAGAGGAGGTGAGATGGTTCACAGTCCTCGGTTCTGACCGGAGGTTGTCCTGGCTCTCTCTTTAATGGACCCTCCCTAAAGCCTGGTGGCATCGAACATGTCAGAGCCCGGAGAAGAGAGGCAGGCTTGGTGGTGGCCTGATGTGCCTCAAGCCAGGTGCTGCCAGCAGGGTCTTACCGGGTCAGGTCAAGGTGGCTGAGGATCAGGCTCCGGCCGGTCTCCGTCTGGGCGAGCTGTAGCAGCAAGGCCAGGCTCTGCTGCCGGAGGGTCACAACTCCGGAGGCCAAGAGACAGGGCAGCAGCCCCCCCAGGCCGGGGCACGTCAACAGCAGGCGCTGGTTTTCTTCTGCAAAGCACAGGGGCTGTCAGCTTCGGGTCTAGTCCTGGCGGCCATCACACGTGTCTGTCCCCCCGCCCCCCCATCCCAGTGGGGGGGCCTGGCCATTGCTTCTCCCGCTCACTGGAGACACAGGGTGACAAGGTGGTATGAGCTTGGGCTGCCAGGTGACTATCCTTCCCCAAGTCACTGGATCCCCCTGTTGTGCAGTGTCCTCATTCGTGACATAAGGATGACGCTCTTCCTAGCAGAATCCTTCAAGGAGCCCTGCTGGCGCTGGTGGGTGAGCATTGGACTGCAAACCCCCCAACTCCTCTTCAGGAGAAAGATGAGGCTGTCTGCTCCCACGAAGGTGTGGAATGGGGACCCCACACAGAATTCTTTCTAGGCAACCAGACTATCACATGGACACCTTAATCAATACACCATGCCCTCCTTCCTCATTTGGAAGCTCTTCTTCAGGGGTCGCGGGGCTGGGGTCTCCCCTTTCAGCAGGTCACATGGGAGTGTTGGAGAGCAAGAGAGAGGCGGGGGCTGAGGTTTGAGACAGAGTGAACTGCACACCCAGGGCCGGGACCCATCACCTGGGCGTCCCCTTCTAATGAAAAACAAACTCAGTGCCATCAAGCCGATGGCAACTAACAGTGACCCCATAGGACAGGGTCGAACGGTCCCTGTGAGTGTCCAGGGCTGTAACTCTTTATGGGAGCCGAAAGCCACGTCTTTTTCCCACGGAGCAGCTGGTGGTTTCGAACTGCTGACCTAGCAGCTGGCAGCCCAATGCACAGTCGCTAAAACATCAGGGCTCCGAGGGCCCTTCTAGGCCCTGCAAGAGCCAGGGTAATGGGATTGTCATGGGATTGTCATGACATCTGACACCTGACCAGAAGCCAGGTCGTTGGAGATGGCATTGTGATCTCCAGCATATACGTGTGTCTATGATGGCCAAACCCAACCCAACCCATTGCTCTCAGGTTGACTGTGACTCACAGGGACCCCATGGGATTGAGTGGAGCTGCCCCTCGGAGTTTCCAAGGCTGTGCATCTGGAGGGGGGCAGACGGCTCCATCTTTCTCCTGCAGAACGCCTGGGGGGTTTGAACTGCCAACCCAGTCCACTAACAGTCGGGCTTTTTAAACACTGTGCCACCAGGGCGCCTTTTGTGTCTGATTACTCCTGTCCCACCAAGTACCTGCCAGCCATCAGCACGGACCATGACAGTAGCTGCATGCTGCTGGGGGCTATGCCCATCCGAGTTCCAAACACCAGGGGAGCGGGGCCTGTGACAGAGAGGCTTCAGGGGGGCACTTCCAGACTAAGCCAGACAAAGAAGAAAGCCCTGAGAGCCTACTTCAGAACACTGTCTGGTAGAGAGCTGGAAGGGGAGAAGATGAGGCTCGTGGGTTGGAAGACACTCAGCATACAGAGTGGCAGCCAGATCGGACGCACAGACACCTACGACTGCAGGACTGGGCAGCGTGTGTCCTGTTGTCCTGGGCAGGGTTGCCGTGATTGGAGCCGGCTCGACAGCCACTGACAATGTCAAAACACTCTCGTGATTGTCGAGATGGGCAGGGGTGGCTTAGTTTGTCTCTCTCTCACTTCTGCTGGAGAAGCAGCTCACTGTAAGCAATTCAGACAACCCAGAAGTGGTATAAAACTGAAGATCAAAGCCCCTCTCTCTGCATTCTCTCCAGGTAAGCCCACTCCCCGGGGGAGCTGTTAAGTAGTCCACACTGCAGAGAATGTTAAGCATGTTACACAAACTAGCCTGTAATTGGCTTCCCTGCTCACTCAAGAATACACCAGACATATTCCCATGCCCTTACTTGTAAACATCCCTGTCCTTTATAAAGGCAACCTGGGGGCCGAGTGGGTTACCAGCTGGGTGCTAACTGGGAGGTCAGCACTTCAAAACCACCAGTCACTGCTGGAGAAAGACAAGGCTTTTTACTTCCGTAAAGAGTTCCAGAAACCCACAGGGGCAGTTCTACCCTGTCCTCCGGGGTCCCTCTGAGCCAGCACCACTCCATGTCAGTGAGTTTTTGCTTCGTCCTCTATTCTTGTGGCACAGTGGATAAGCATTGGGCTGCAAACTAAAAGAGTTAGTGGGAGAAAGATGAGGCAGTCTGCTTAAAAAAAAAAAAGCCACTGAAAAACATCCAAAAAGCAACGGAACATTGTCAACATGGTGCTGGGAAATGAGTCCTTTGAGCTGGAAAAAAAAAAAAAAAAGACTTACAGCCCCAGAAACCCTAGGGGGCAGGTTCTCGTCTACCCTATAGGATTCCAGACTTGACCACGGTCGTGGATTTCCCTTCGGGTCCTTTATAAACGCTGCGTGAGGTTTAATGACACGGATGCACCAAGATTTCATTGCTCGACAAGCAAACATTTACCTCCTGGGTGGTGTCTGACAGTGCGATGGTCATTTTTCCAAATGTTAAAAAAAAAGGTGTGACCCGTAGGTTCCTGGAAACCGAAGTCGGTGTGCTTGCCATGCCAGATCCCCCCTGCTTGCCATGCCAGATCCCCCCTGGAGAAACACAGGGCCATCCTGCCCCGCCACTTTGACCCTCCTAGAGAGGGATTTCAAAAATCCTGGGCCAGGCCAGGGCTCAGCACAGCACAGCACAGCCCAGCACAGCACAGCCCAACACAGCATTGGGAGACAGTGCTCATTGAGTGCTGATCCCCTTCCAGAAAGAAGAACCCGGACTTCCTCATTGTCCAGAACTTGAGATGACTTTTCCACTGCTGATGCTGCAGATTTGACCTTGAAACCATTACAAGTTCTGCTTCTAAATCAAGAAAAATCGTTTGTAGCCTCACAAGTGTTCCGTGTTTTTAACACAGACAGACATCACAACAACACAGAAACAGAAACAAAACCCTGCTTCTTGGAACGGGACAAGGTTGCCTGTTATCACCACTTTGACCACAATCTTGGAAGTTTCAGCTGGGGCCATAAGACACCAAAAAGATATTAACGGTGTCCACAAAGGCACAGAAGAAATAAAAATCTCCTTATTTGCTGATGACATAGTCCTCCTATACATAGAAGACCCCAAAGATTAAATTTAAATATTGCGCGAACTAATTGGAAATGTTGGCACCGTAGCAGGCTATGAGATCGACACAGAGAGATCAGGTGGATTCTTGCAAATTGAGGGTGATGATACTGCAGAAGGGTACTAAATGAATAATACCATTTACAATAACTACACAAAAGATAAAACGTTTAGGAGTAAGTCTTATCAAAGAAACAAAAGACATATACAAGGAAAACTACAAAGCGCTCCTTCCAGGAAACAAAGAGCACAAATGGACCAGCTGCCATGTTCCTGGAGAGGCAGACTGAAAATTGTGAAAGTGTCAATAGTACCAAACATACTTCACAAATTCAATGCAATTCCAACAGAAATCCCGCCAAAATTCTTCACAGAAGTGGAAACAACTAATCGCCAACTTTGTATGGAAGGGAAAAAAAAATCCAAGGCAAACCAGTCGCCATTAGAAAATGGAAACAAAGAGGCTTTTCACTGCCAGACTTAACACCCAGTGTGTCCCCATGGCAATCAAAACAGTCTGGCCCCGGCACAGTGATGGACATGAAGACCACTGGGTGAGAACTGAGAACCCAGAAATGCAAGCAAGTGCCTGCAGACACCTAGTCTTTGGTAAAGGACTAACACACATCAAATGGGGAGGAGACAGCCTTTCCAACACATGGCGCTGGAAAAACGGGATATTCACCCACAAAAAGAATGAAATAGGACCTATCCTTCATACCACATACAAAAACGAACGTGAGATGGATCAAAGACCTAAATATAAACCACACAATTATAATGACCACGGAATGCACTGAAGGATCCTAATACAAATTTATTGGAGAACATCCACACTACAGACGACAAAATAAAGACCCAAAACACACTAAAAACAGGGCATACATGCACATTAATAGACCTCATCAAAAGAGTCAACAGAAAACTCACAGATTGGGAAAAACTACTCAGCCATAAAACATCAGATAAAGAGCTAATCTCCAAAATCTATAGAAAACTACAACATCTTAATGAGAAAAGTATCAAATTTTCTAACCCAATCAAAAAAGGGGCACAAGATATGAATAGACAATTTACCAAAGATGATATCCAGGGAGCCAAGAGCCATATGAAGAAATGTTCACATTCATGAGCAATAAGAAAAATACCAAGTAAAACAATAATGAGATACCAACTCACACCAACACTTTTAGCAAAATTCAACAAAACAGGAAATAATAAATAATGGGGAGGATCCGGAGAAATCGGAAGAGTGTCACATTGCTGGTGGGACTGCAGCCCTGTGCAGCCACTCTGGAAATCAGGATGGCACTTCCTTAAACAGATGCAAATACAAGCACCTTACAACTGCGCAGTCCCTCTACTGGTGCACGCACTAGAGAAACAGAGAACAGCAGCAGACACACACACACTTAGCCGACTGCAGCACTTTCTGTACTAGCAAAAACATTGGAACAGCCCCAGACCCATTCACACGGGAATGGGTAACAAGCTCTGGTACAGTCATACCAGGAAGTATGACGCATCCATCAACAACTCTCTCCAACACCCAAAGACATGGATGATGCTAGAGGACATTAAGCTTAGCAAACTTAGTCAATCTTACAAAAAGAAAAATCTATTAACACCATCATTATAAGAAAAAACAAAGAAAAGGATACAGGTTTATACATGAAAGTATATAGTATATAAAGAGTATATGGGTTTATACACCAAAAGGCAAGGCTTTGATGGCTACGAGGAGGCTGGCACAGGGGTTGGGTGGGAATGGAAAGAGAGGGGAGGGAGAGGATATTGAGGAGGGAGGGAGGGAGGCTAGTGGGGAGGGGTGTCAGGGAAGACAGTCACCTATGTGAAGGGTTTACCAAGAGAACGCCGTTGGTTTCATTTCTTGAGACGTGTTGTGGTGTAAATGCACACAGTATGCTTCCTTCAAACCAAACAAAATAACTCCTCCAGATTCCTTATCCCTCAAATCTAAATAGTAGTGCAAGTGGCTACCCCCCACCAAAAAAAAAAAAGGAGAAAAATTAAAAGGGAAATGCTTTTGGAGTCTTTGGTGATAATTAAGTTCATCTCAAACAAACCAAAAAACTGCATATGAATGCTCTCCCCGGCTCTCAGAGCAGCACAGTGGGACTGAAAGGTAGGGGCCCTCATTTCCACCTTCAGTGCTTTGTGCACACATTTTCTTAGGAAATGAGGAAAATACTTGGAAATATTTATGCACACCGAAGTCGTTAAAGCAGTCAGAAAGATCGCGCAGAACTTAAGGAGGCCCCGAAGATGCTCTAGTGTTAAGGAAGAGTCAGCGTTAACAAGGTTAATAAAATCCCAGTAGCTTTTTACTGCCGGGGCATCACACCCCAATCAGTGTCTGAGGATGCCAGCAGGGGTGTTCGTAAATCTCACTGTACTAAAATGGGTGATGTGGTCAGCAAAGAGGGACAAGGTTTTAGACAGACAGGGAAGGAGAAGTCCTGGCCACCCCTCCCCACTGCTAAGGCAGAAGTCATGAATCTGCAAAGAGCAGGGCGGGAGGCCAGGTGGGGTCCCACTCACTGCGGCGCTGGCCTAGCCCATCACCCATGGGGCAGCCTTCCAGGCGATGCAGGTCTGGCCTCTTGAGATCCAGACACTGCAAGGGGGAGGGGGCAGGCCTAGACATCTGCTTCCCCAGGCCTGGCCTTCAGGGGCACAGTCAGGCTGCGGTGTTCATGGTGCTTTATTGGTGATGAACGGTGATTTGCTGGGCTTACCATTCTCCCTGCACACAGCCTGCCAGAGCCTGAGAACAGACAGGCACACGGTCTCTTCGACTGCGTCCTTCCCTGCAGAGGAGAAGCATCTAGAGCAGAGAAGGGAGAGCAGTATTCAAGCTGGACATTAACCTTGACCTTGCTTCTCATCCCGCTTGCTTTCTTCCATCCGTGCCCAGACTTCCCAAATCACAGGTTTCCTCCAGGGTCCTAGGAGAGCAAAGCTGTGACCCAAGAGCTCCAGGTGGAGAGATGGGGGCCGCAAGGAAGGAGGGAGGGCAGTGGGCCTGGCCATGGGCAATGGTTGTGAGAGGGCCCTGGAAAGTCCCCCACCCGCACCTTTGCTCAAATAAAAGTGGGCTGACTCCAGCCCACGCCCCGCTCTAAGCCTCAGGGAGTGCACCGCTGAGATACCCCGAAACAGAAAACACAACCGCCGCGTGGGCCTTGCTTCTGATGAAATTACAAATGGGATCACCAGGGGCCAGCAGAAATCCTTTCCTGACTTGCTCAGCAAATTCCAAATGGAGATAGGAAAACAAAAGCACAAATAGCAATCTTGCACAAACTGGTGGGAAATTGGTGAGGCTGGTCTTGTCCCTGCCGGGGGTGTGCTCGGGGCGGCCCCCTGGGACGTGCTCCTGCCTCTCGACCCAATGTCCACTGTGGTCGAGTTCAACACCGCCCAGGGCTAAGGCTTCCTGACCACAGCTCCAGTCTGCCACCTCTGTGCTTAGTGGGGGTGTCTTCCCTGGCCTGGGTGCTACGAGGGGTGGGAGTGGGGGCAGACGGGGGCGGCCCTTGATCCATGCCTCCTACCTTCTTATGACCTCATTGTCACCAATGATACTGAATCCACTGTGTGTTCTGAATAAAGTTCGCTCTGTGCCTGGAACGAAATCACCGAGAAAAACCCATTCTGGCTGGTGTTTAATTGCAGCACAGGCTTGATACGGCAGATCAAGGTCACCCAATTAACACCTGAGAGGAGAAGCATCACCTTTGTGTTTCAGAGAGAAAGGACAACAGATGAGTGGATGAGCCACTCAGAGCCACAGGACAAGGGACACCCTCACTGAGAGGCGAGCTAAGCTACAGTGGCCCTGTGGCTTCTCTGCCCCACTCATAAGGTGGGAATCTTTGGAGATGCAGAGCTGCTTAAACCCCAGGAAAAGCTGCCCAATCCACCTGCTCTCAGACATTAAATAACTCAAAGCTATGTCCAGGCGCGAGAGGGGAAGAAACCACAGGAGGGGGGACCTGAGCATCCCCACTGTGGGCTCCAAGGGGAGCCAGGCCACCATCTGTTTTCACAGATAGCAACCCAACCCCGAGTCACCTAAATGGTTGAAGGCCCGGTATCAGTGCTTACAGGAACCAGGACGAGAGAACAGCCCAGCTCTCCTTAGTGGGAGGAGAGCAGATGTCGGCTCTGAACAACTTTCCCTTCCTAAACAGTCATTAAATTCATGGTGCGCACGTGCATGCGTGTGTGTGTGTGTGTGTGTGTGTGTGTGTGTGTGTGTGAGAGAGAGAGAGAGAGAGCGCTAAGTTGTGTGGTATGTGCACATGTGACGTAAGTGCACGTGGTATGACTAAGTATGTATGTGGGCCATGTCTGTGTATGTGGTGTGTGGCGTGTCGGATGTGACACCAATAACTAATGGTGGGTCTGTGGTGGGTGCACATGCTCCAGGGAAAGATGAAGCCAGAATGGGGGGGGGGTGTCTCTCTCTCTCGTGTACCTGTCAGCCCCACACTGTAGTAGACTCAGGAGATGGCTTGCATCTCCGGCTTACCCTCGGCCATCATTTCCGTCAGGATCTCAATCCCCCCGGCATAGAACAAAGGAATCTGGTCAGGCTTGGAAAGGGTCTCCAGGAGATTCCTGGTGGTCACGGCTGTGTTGTTTCCCGAAGCCAGCGATTCATGGGCCTCCTTCTCTTGAAGTTCAGCTTTCTCCTGAAGACCCACGTGGTGCAGGCAATCTAGCAGGGAACAGAAGGACACAGAACAAGCAAATGCGAACCATCAACAGTACCAGCCAAGAAGCCACTTTTTAAGGCTTGCCCCCTTTTGAGCATGGTAGGGTTGAGAAGCACCCACAAAGCCCCAGCTTCCCTGCCATCAGGCCAATGACAACTCACATCGACCCTATAGGGTGGGCTCTGACTGCCCCGGGGAGGGGCTGTTCTGAGACTGTGACCCTTTATGGGAGTGGGGAGCAGCTGGTAGGGTTCAAACGGCTGGCCGGCGGTTAGCAACCCCCTGCGTCACCAGGGCTCCTCTGGCGAGAAGCACAAATAACGGCCAGAGTCTTTAACGACCTGGAGGAAGGAGGAAGGAGGACAAAGCTAATTCCCTGCCAGGATGGGCCCAGGGGAGGATGGTGAGGAAGAGGCGAATGGGAAGCAGGGCAGTGTGGCTGGTGACACAGGAGGGTGATCACGGAGCTCGGGCAAGAAGGCTGCTGCTCTGTAGCCAAGAGCAGAGAAGGTGCAGGGTCACCAGGGGGCGAGGAAGGAAGGATATCAGCAGGGACGCTCACCTTTCACCTGTGGCTGCAGCTTGGGGTCTATTTCTAAGATCTTCTGATAACATTCTCTGGACTGCAAAAAAGAAACCAGACCTGGAGGCGTGTCGGCAGGTAGCGGGATTACAGGGCAGCTAGTGGGCACCACAGGGCCCGGGGCCTCCATGATTTCCTCCTCGGGAGGGGCATGTGGGGGTGGGGGGTGGGGGCTGCGGGGTCCGGCGTGCACTTTGCATTTTGTGTAGGCTTCTCTGGGACTGTGGGGACAAAAGGTATTTCAGCCTTCATAGGGGGGTTAAAAATGGTGTTGTCAGAAACAGCCTGGGATGAAAAATGTCCCATCCTAAATTCTTGTGGATCGTGTCTGACTGGGATAGGAAGTCTCATAAGTGACTCATAAATGACAACGTTTAGATGTGATTTTGTACTGAGAGAGACCAGGAGGCTACCTGTCGGCGATGCTCACAGAGAGCCAGGGGGAAATGCAGCTAGACACATTGCCGGCAGAATTTGGGGAACAGGGAAAGAGAATGGCCTAATTAGGGGTACAGGCCTGCAGAGGCAGCCAGATGGGGCCCCTTTGCTGGAGTCAGCTAGGAAACTCAGGATTGAGGGACTCTCATGGAAAGTTTTGCCAAAGTTTCTGGTGAAAGAACGATTCTAGTTCATGGGGATCTCTGGGTTTAGGGGTGCATTACCCTCGGGGACATCAGGAAGAGTCCACCGAGTCAGAAAAGAAAAAGTTGAGTCTGAGATAGCTGAAGGCTACCATTGAGATCTGGACTCAGAAATGAGGCGCAGGGAAAGCATCACAGAAAACAGACCACCGCGTCACGGGGGGAGGCTCTACATCAAACACCGGGACCGCTAGCCACCTTCTCTTCAGCCCCAGATCCAACCAACCAGCAAGTCCTGCTGTCTCGGTCATGAGCATGCACCCAGAACCCCACCACTCCCATCAGCAGCACTTCTCCCTTGGATACTTTACGGCTGTAGCTTGCTAACTGCTCTCCGACCTGCCCTTGCCCTGCCCAACTACCCTTCCAATGCAGCAGTCAGGGTGAGCCTTTAAAACATAAGTCCCATCTTGTCGTGCCTGTGCTCAAAATCCTACAACGGCTGCCAGTTTGCTCCAAGCCAACGCCAAGGTCCTTCGAGAGCCTCCGAGGTGCTTCAAGATCGTCCCCGCCACACTCCCATCACTTCCTCGCCCTCCCCTCCTAGAGGCTGAGTGTTCCAGCCTATAGAAGGGGGCTCCAAAAAGTTTGTGGGAAAGTGAACTGAAAGACAAAATGAATTTTCCTGTACTTTCTGAGCCCCCTTGAATATCCACATGGACCCCTCATTCACACCCTCCATTTCCGCAGAGGCACCTTGCTAACCACCCCATTTAAAACTGTCTCGCCTTAGTGGCTCCCGGATGTCTTTTTATCAAGAATACTCATCACGCTCACTCAGTACATTGTCTTGCACGACTTAGCTGGTTCTGTCTCCTGTTTGTCACCGACGAATCTGAGTTCCATGAACTCCTACTGCCCCGATAGGACATGGCAAAAAGGAAGGGCACAATAAGTATTTGCTAGGTGAATGCGTGAATTGACTAATGATTGAGTGTGTCAATAGAATCTGGCAGAGAGGGGGAAATGAACATTCCTTATTTACCTCACTAATATTTATCTTTATTACAATAAGCCAACACTACTTTTACAATTATAATCCAACACAGAAATGCTTCTTAAGGAAGGTTCAATATGAGGCAATGACTATTTAAAAAACATCGTCGTCTTATAAATGGAAAGACATCCCATGTTCATGGATCAGAAGACAGTACTATTTAGATGGCACGACTTCTCAGCCTGATCTACAAAGTCAAAACAATCCCTCTCAAACTTCCAGCTGGCTGCTCTACCAACTGAACTGGCAAGAAATGGGCAAGTCAGTCCTACAAGTCACATGGAGATTCAAGGGACCCAGAAGAGCTACCACAATCTCGAGGAACTAAAACTAAGTTGAAGCCCCCAGACTTCTGATTTCCAATGTCACCACACAGCTGTCTTAGGACAGGATGGTACAGCCATGAGCACAGACACACAGACCAATGGAATGAAATAGAGAATAAAGTAATGCACCCATACAGGTATGGAAAGCTGATTTTTGGCAAGGGTGCCCCTACCATTCCATGAAGAAGGAAGAGCCTTCTTAAGACATGGGTCTGGGAGAACTAGGTAGCCACAGCAGAAGGATGAAATTGGACCCTAGCTCACAACCTAGAAAAACCTTAACACAAAGTAACATCAAGGACATAAATGCGAGTGCTAACGTGATAAAGCTCAGGGGAGGAAAGGTGTGAATGGTTGTGACTTTGGCTTGGACAACAGTTTCTTATGGGACACAAAAAAACAAACTCTAGCAACGAAACGACAGACCAATCGGACTTCAACCCAATTGAAAACCTTTGCACGGCCAAGAAAGTGAAAAGCCAGTGCATAGACTGGGAGAAAAGGTTCGCAGTCCACGGATCTGGGGAAATGCAAACAAACAGCAAACCCTTGTCCTTGGATCCAGAATAAAGTACTCGCATAACTCAAAGAAGGCAAGATAATGGAAACACCACTTCTCCAGAGTTTAATACAAGAGGCCAATATAGACACAAACATGGTAATTGGTCGGGTGTGTGAACATAGCTCCACAAAGCTGCTAGTAAAAATATAAGATGTGTGTGTGTAGTTGCCTTTGGGTGATGAGACTACAAGTGAGTTTTGATTTCATCGATTTGCTTATCCTTGTCTCTCCAGAGACTCCTCTCCTCCTGGGGCTGAACAAACACTGGTAAAGCCCACTGCGAAAGGATTCCTGCAGCAGGTGAGGATGCACCAGCTGATACCCTGCATCCTTCCCAACTCTGAGATATGAAGACTTACCTCGGAAGTACTAATGGGTTGATTACGATCTACTCCAGGGTTTCCTGCCGGAGACCCTCGGAAGCACTGCTCTGAGATCACACCCCACTGAAGAAACCTCTGAGAACTTACCTGACCGTAGTTCTTCAGCGCCAGGTGGGCTTTCCCCATATGGAAATATGCTTTTGTGCAGTTCTCATCACACTGCGTGAAAGGGAGTGGGTGATCAGATGTTTCCAAAGATCTGAAGCCCTTAGCCAGCCCCCTAACTGTCTAGCTCACAGAGCTATGTCTGAGCTTTGGTTCTCGGGACAGGGCTGACGATGAAAACTTTTTCTGTGCACTTCAGAGCAAAGTAACTGATGCCTGCGAGGAGCCTGGGTGTGCACATAAGCTCGCTGGCGAATGCAGTAATGACAATTGCCAGTGTTCATTTCCACTCAATGGGACCCAGTCAGAGACAGAACAGAAAGCCTGGGTTTAGAAGAGCTTTTCTCCTTGGCTGAGCACTAGAACCCCCTGGGATGCCTGCAAAACGCTGGACGGCCAGGCTGCAGCCCATGCCAGTCACAGGCACTCTGGGGTGGGGACCAGGCATCAGTCATGGTTTCAGCTCTCCAGGTGATACAAGTGGGAAGCCCGGTTTGAGAACCACTGCTTTCCAAAAAGTGAGGGAGGTTCACTGGGGATGCATGGCTGAGGTTACCCTGACATCCTATTGGGGCCAGGAGGTTCCTCTCCCCACATTAATCACGATGTGCACCCTGGGAACTTACATTCTTATCTCTTAAGATCAGGAGGGATGGTCAAAGGGCAGTATTGATATTTATGGCTGAAAATTTTGCCCAGGTGGCCTTGCACCTGCCTGCTGCTCATAATTACAGTGGCCCAGAGCATAACCTGGCAGCACTGGGGCATTAAGTACAGTAAGAAGCACTCAGACAATTAATTTTATTGAATCCCTTTGATGTGCAAGGCATTGCACCACACCAGATGGCCCTCAGTTGTTGTTGGGTTATTTTTTTTTTATCCTGTATGTTTTTCTGGATATGAAATCCCAGTTTAGGTAAATCTATGGAGACTGCAACTGGATTCATAGTTTCCCAGGGGCACCATAGGGAAGGCTTGCCAGGTGGGGAGAAACGGGGAGCTACAGCAATGGGTAGAAGGAAGAAGGCGTGTCCTAATATTGATGGTGGTGATGATTACCCAACTTTTTTGAATATGATTGAATTATTGAAACGTATGTGTGAACTGTCAATAAAACTTTTTTTTTTTAAAGTTCAACATAATTATCAGGAAAACCATTAAAGTCACAGTGGCTACATGTTTCAAAATCGCCAATACCAAGAGTCAGTGGGGGCATGAAATGCCGAGCGAGAACTCTTCATGGGAAAGTGGGAATCTATGATGTTTTATACAGTAACCTCTTTGGCAGGCAATCTGACATTTGGCAGATTCTGAGAAAGTTAAAAACTCCAGATTCGCCGCCGTTGAGGTGAGTGGTTAAGCGCCGGGCAAGCTAATAACCACAAGGTCTCCCAAGTTCGACACCACTCCTTGGGAGAATGATGGGCTTTCTGTCCCCATACAGAGTTAGAGTCTTGGACATGCACAGGGGGCAGTTCTACCCTGTCCTATAGGGTCACCATGAAGTTAAAGGTACACAGGAAGAAGAATCAGACTGCAAGTCCAGGAGACTAGCAGGGCCCGAGTGAATCTTGGCTCTGCCACTCACCAGCTGCAGGCACTGGCCCGGCGACTTACCTTCTCTGCTGCCCCTTGGACTCGTCTGCAGAGGGAGGGTAAGGCCAGCACGGAGGCACCCGCTGTTTTGAGAGGGGAAATGTACGTACAACAGCACCGAGCCCGGCGCCAAGGTCTCAGCAATCCATTCCAGGCAGAAAGGGAAAATTCATGGAAAGGGAACAACCCGGACGAGGCAGTGATGAGCTTCCGATGCGGCGAGCCCTTGAGAGATGCACTTTTCACGTCTGTTCTTTTCTGATTCAGCACTAAGTTACTGCTGTGACGAGAATCCTAATACTAGTCATAAACGCTCCTGCTTGTCGAGGAGTCTCACTGTGGTTGTTGGGAGCCGTTGACTGGGCATCAGCGGCCTGCTGGGCATCAGAAGGACATCCTCGCAACTGTGATGCTTGAGCCCATTGTCGCAGCCGCTGTGTCCATGCATCTGGTCCAGAGAGTCTTCCTCTTCTTCATTGACCTTCTACTTGACCAAGCATGATGTCCCTCTCCAGGGATGGGCCTCTCCTGCACCACGTCCAAAGTCTGTGGGATGAAGTCTCACCATCCTGGCATCTACACAGCACTCTGGCTGGACTTCCTCCTCAGGGGTCCTTCCAAAAAGCCCTGGGTCATGTGAATGATCCCATGGGGACGATCCAGCCGCAGAACAACTCCATGAAGTACATCCAATGATTAGCTCTGTTTGTAGATTAAAATCCCCCCCAAACTACAGGTTTCAGAGGCTCTAGATCACATACCCAAACTCAAACTCACGGCCATCGAGTCGCTAGGAGAAGGTCACTGTTGATGGGAATAGAAAGCCTCGTCTTTCTCCCGAGGAGTGGCTGGTGGTTTTAAACTGCTGACCTTGTGGATCTCAGCCCAACTTGCAACCACTACGCCACCAGGGCTCCTTACAGTCACATGGCTAGTGAGTAAAAAAGCTGGGATTTATCATCTGTTTTTTGACTCCAGAACCTAAGGGCTTATCCACCACAGGCAGTCTCCTTCTGAGACACGCAAGAGCAGTTGGGCAGTAGGGAGAAGAGCTGGGTCTTGGGAGAGGTGGAGTGAGGAGGAGGGAGGGAGAGTGGGGTGAGCCAGCCAAGTCTGGAGATGAGACTATGAGGGGCTTCAGAGGAGAGTCCAGCTGTGCTCTGATGGGTTCTGGTGTGAAGGCCAGGTTAGGGACTCCACGTGGAGGCTATAGGGTAGGGTGGGTGGTCAGTGGGGGCATGTAGGAACACTGGTCGGGAGCCGGCATGTTGGACTCACCAGAGGAAAGACAGTCAGGGAGTTAGAGAAGGGGACCCAGACAGTCACTTAGACCAAGGAGCTAACATCAGAAGTTGGTGGTGATGATGGCAAATCCAGACCCCAGCGCTCTGGCAAAGGCAGGCCTAAGCAACACCAGCTCACTCCACATGCTGGGGTGCAGCGGAGGGTGGCATCAGAGACGCCTGAGAGACAGGCGGTGCCACAACAGAGGAAGGCGACCTCAGGACAGGGAGTGGGCTTTGGGTGGGAAAATGAAGCATTTGATTCTAGACATACTGAGCTTCAGATGCCGAAAGACAACCAAAATGGAGATGGCAGGAGGCAGCAGAAATCTGGCCTGGGCTGGGGAAGTGGAGGCTGGGGAAGTAGGTCTCAGAGCCATTGTGCAGAGATGAAGAGTTGAACTGGTGAGAGGAGGAAACTACTGCAGAGAGAAGGGAGTCTGGGAGCCAAGTGAACCCCAGAGTTTTCCTGAAGGAGGAGATGGAGGCAGCTGGAAAGGAATGATCAGAGGGAAAGGAGGCTGCTCAAGTTCATGAGCACTGCTGGTGGAGAAATCAGTGTCCCCCACGGAGCCTGGTCCACTGCCTACAGTGTCACTGCGTGGGGCTGCGGCTGGGGCTGTGTGGCCATTCTCAGACACAGGGACCAGGTGCCACTAAAAGATTTCCTCCCTAATGGGCCCTTTCCCCTTTGATGGTAGGTCAGCTCTCATCAGGAGCCCCGGGGTCCCTATGGGACTAACCAGGGCCCCTTCAAAGGAAGGCTGCCTATGGAGGAAGGTATCGTTCATTGTGCCAGAATGGGTTGGGCCAGAAAGAGATATTTTGATATTAATTGAATCTGGCTGCACAGCTTTGTCTTTCCCAGACCAGGAGTATCAGGTTTGAAAGGCCATCACACGGGCCTGTCTCCACCAATTCACAAGTGTCGAACAGCAATAGGCAGGACAGAGGTACAACTTTTTATGCCAACAACACGCCCTGTAAATGTGTTGACCAACCATGTCCTCTCCCCTGAGAGGTATTTCCATAAGGGTGCTGTGACAGTTAGGTTTATTGTGCCAACCTGGTCAATAGGAACATGTGAGATTAATAAGGTCACAGTTTGATTGGAGGGCAAAGAGATAAGTGGCTCTGCAAGGCCATCTCCTCCCCCCACCTTGCTCTCTGGTGATGGACCAGCATGCTGCTGCTTTAGCTAGTTCTCTGCTTCAACCTGTGTGCTACACTACCTGTGGGCTAAGCGAACCTGTGGATCCTGTCGCTAGGGTTTGGGCTCTTTCAAGACCTGCTTCTCCATGCTGCTGGTGCATCATACGTTGCTTGAGCTTGAGGCTGATGGATCCTGTCACCTTGCATTGCTTGAGTTCGATAGCCCATCTGGGCCTGCTTCGCTAAGCTCCCACCAAGCTACTGACTATTGCTGACCCACCCTGTTGTTTGCTATCTGTGGGCAAACTCTGCCTGCATTGCCCAAGGGAGGACTCCACTGTCTGCTTCCTTGACCTTGGACCCTGCAGCCTGCGTGAGGTGAAGGACTTCCAGTATATTAACTGTTCCATGAAAGTGAATTGAACTGAGCCCTCTGTACTGCTGTGTGGTCTAACTTAGCTGTTATATTCCTTATTGCTGTATAAACCTCTCTATATAGTCATATGTACTGGTTTTGTTTCTCTAGAGAACCCTGCCTAACACAGGTTCCTTTAAAAAAAAAAAACCCAACCATGTTGCCAGAGTTAAAAACAAGCACAAAAACTATCATAGTATGCTTACAAAAATACCCCATGATGTGTGTGTGTGTGGGGGGGGGGGGGGGCGGGAATGGAGGAGGGGTGTTAGGTTGGCAAACAAACATAGAAGGTGTATTATTTTCAAAAAATAAAACATGGCAGTGCAATTAATAATAGAGGGCCAGTGGCATTCACAACGGATGTATTTTAAAGAGAGTGAAGCTGCTTTTCCTTCGCGGCTTCTATGCAGGAGGACGAGATGGAGTGACCCAGTGGCTGCTCAGAGGGCTCTGGCAGAGGAACAATTGTGGGGAGGCACAGGTCACCTGCGGTGTTTCCTTCTGTTACGTGAAGGGTCGCCATGGGTCCCAGCCGACTCGATGTGGCAGCTTAACAACAACAGCATGCAGGAGAACCATTGTCAGTGTCTAGAAGACCTTCCCCCGCTCCTCCAAGTATTTACTGAAACCTCCTCAACCATGAGCCTCGCTGGGTATTTGGTGAGATAGGCTGCTGAGTATCGTGCTTTTCAGTGTCTGCTCCGTCGGGTCTGCTTCGCCGTGGTTTCATCATGGGTCACGTTGTGAAGCAACCAGTGAGGTGGCGTGGCACCCTCCCTGCTCCTTCTCAGGTCGGAAAAGCCACCCTGGAAGGCCCCCAGTGGAGACTGGGGCTGACGGTCTCCGCAGGGAGCCACACAGACTAGACTGTTAGGGGCCTGGGCTTGCACTGAGACACAGGCAGGGTGCTGTCTGAGGCTCCGCGGCCTGGTTGAGAAGTGGGGACGAAGGTGGTGCTGAGCACAACAGGATGCAGAAAGGCTCGCAGAGCACAGCTCACACCAGCTCGTAGGGAAGGTGGGTTTTGCTGCGATTGTCAGAACAAAGGAAAGCCTTCTAGTCTCTGTCGTCTCGTACAGAACGAGGGTGAAAACAAGGGAATGATCATCAAAGAAGGGGAAGGAGCAGGCCAGTTGGGTTGCCCTGAAGCTGGGAGCAATGCGATGAGGTCTGAGCAGCTCCTAGAAAGGCGATACCCTTGTGTAGGGAGGAGCCTCGGTGGTGCAGGGGTTATGTGTTGGGCTGCTAACTGTAAGCTCAGCAGTTCGAGACCACCAGCCTCTCTGAGAGAGAAGCCTGCTTCTGCAAAGATCACCATCTCGGTGGTGCTATAGAGAAGTTCCACTCTGCCCTGCAGGGTAGCTAGGAGTCACCTGAAATAATGTCTCTGGGTGAGATCTTGCCACGTCTCTGTTTAAAAGTCTCCTGTTTCCAGCAGGTCTAGCCCCATGTGATGATCTTGGCAGGTTTGGGAAAAAATACCACACACTGTATGAGGCTTTCTGCCTGAGGCCTGACTGCCTCCAGGCTCAATAGCTAGCAGGAACCCTTTCTTCTGATGATCCCACTACAAATCAGGGATGTTACACTTCCTAAGTATCCGCGCCGGAGGAGAAAACGCACACAGGGCTGAGGGAGGACAAGGTTGCAGGAACGGGGACATCCTCACCCCAAAGAAGCCTTGGCAACCAATAACTGAGAAACCATGGTAACAGCAGTGTCAGTGGAGTGCCTACTCTGGGCAAGGCCTGTTCTATGCATCACCAGGACCCCATGCCACATTCATGCTCAACAAAACGCACTGCCATCGAGGCGATTTCCACTCATAGTGACCCTAGAGGACAGGGTAGACCTGCCCCTGTGAGTTTCCAAGACCGCAACTCTTTATGGGAGTAGAGCCTCCTCTTTCTTCCAAGGGGCTGCTGGTGGTTTCAAACAGCTGGTCTTGGGATTAACAGCCCAACTCATAACCACTAGCCCACCAGGACTCCCATGCCAGCCAATAGATCACAAAGTCTACTTTCCTTGTGGCTCCCGGGCAGTTTATTCCCTTCACATCTGTCTGACTCATGAGGCCCGGCAAGCCCAATGCCATTGCGAGGGTGAAGGACACACTCTCTTACCTTTAGAGCCCAGTCGCAATCCACCAGTGCCTTCTGGTAGTCCCCGAGCTTTATGTAAGCCTGCAAGACAGACACAGCTGATTGTGACACCGAGCTCGAGCCAAGCGCCGAAGGAGCGCCCACCCGGATAGGGCGGTTGCCTAGAGGTGAGCTTGGGGCTTGGTGGTGAGGATGATTGGGGGTGATGGATTCAGGGTACAGGTTTTTTAGGAAGGTGATCAAAATATTCTAAAGTCAATTGTGGGGATGCCTGCATAACTCTGTAAATACACGAAACCCCCCTGAACAGCACACTTTAAATGGGTGATTTTTATAGTATGTGAATGATGTATCTGTAAGGCAGTTAGTAACAATAAAAAGAAAAAAGGAGCCCTGGTGGTGGACTGGGTTACGTGTTTGCTGCTAACCAGAAGGCCAGCAGTTTAAAGCCACCAGCCACTTGGGAGACAGATGGGCTTTCTCCTCCTATGAAGACTTACTGTCTCGGGAGCTACGGGAGATTCCCCTCAGTCCCATAGGGTCTGTATGAGTCGGAATCAACTCAAGGGAAGTGGGTTTCTTCCAGGAGAAGAACAAAGCCATCTGAGCGATTGTTGGAGGGAAGGGTTTTCCCTCTAGCAAGCCCGCGGCAGCACGCGCTTCACAAGATCTTCCGAAGGTCACGCAAACTGGCCCAGCAGTTTAAACATAGTGACCGGGTCAAACGACTCTTGGAACGCCAGGCAGCGCACTTAGCGCTTGTGTCTTGGGATGAGCTTTCTGTTTTGGGAAAGCATCAAGGAATGCCTTTTCCCTCATGCCTTCCATTGCGTTTGCGCGTATTGACCCACATTGGTTCCTAACGTGATTCTCCGGGATGCATTCAAGTGCTACTTGACCTTGAGCACAGTGCAAAGGTCCCTGACTTAGCTGGCGCAGGGTGCTGGGCGGTCTGGAACAGAGGCAGGTCTGAGGGTCATCCCACTCTAGGGCCGTTGGGTCATGCGGCTTTAAGGAACGTCACAGGGACACACTAGCCTCTGCAGCAAGCCACCTAGATGGGGCTCTGGAGGCCACAAGTGATGGCAAATGGAAATCTGGTATCATCAGTGTCTTCACTGGGGGAAGTACCCCCAGGAACTCGACTCCCTAACTGTGCCTCCGGTTTCACGTCACTTCTTGATGCCAGTCTTGTGAGCACCGACTCCTGTGAGCTTACTCATCTGCCAAGGCACTCGGCCCAGCCCCAGCCCCAGCCCAAACTGGTGAGCGCTGGCATACCTTAATCCATCATCTGGGCTTTTGTGTGTTTATGTAATGCAGCAAGGGGTTAAGAAACAACCATTCCTACATGGCAGTTTTTGCCCTCTAAAAGTTTATCATCCGCTTATATCTGGTGAGGGTGATATAATCAGACCTACACCAACTTCTAGCCACCTTATGCTTCCTAATAACAATATTCCTCCCTACTCCCTGCAAATAAGTCTGCTCTGATTTATTCAAGCTGTTAAATTGATGCGGTTATGCTGGGCTCGGATTTATTTGTCATTAAATCACTGTCACACTCCAGACACTGTGGCCTCGGCGCACCCTGCTTCTTGCTTTCACTGCGCTTCCTCAGCACTCTGCAGCGAGCGAGCAGACCTCCCTCCTGAGTTACAGAGAGGCAGCAGATGAGGGCTGGGCTGCCTCTCTCCTCCCTAAGTGACAGGGCTTCAAGCTCATCTCCCCGGGTGCCTGCTTACACAGCCTGACCGGCGGCCCACAGCGACTCATCAGTCTGTCAGTTTCCCAGAGCAATCTCACTACACACAAACCCAATGACGCGTCCCAGGTAGTCACAGGTGACAATTTTGTTCCAACTGGGGCATAACAAGCTTGTCCTCCAGCTGCACGCAACTCAGCAAGGGTAGCTTGGCCGCCTATTATAAATCAAGCCTCAGGGGTTAAGTGGTCGGCCTTTAGAAACGGCAGACAATAAACACCAAGTGGTGGTTTTTACTGGTGTGCCAGCAAACCAAGCTCATCTGTGATAGAAAACCTGGTGTCTGGGTGATTCTAGAACCTCAGACTTTGAGAGGCCAGCCCATGTGTTGTCCAGTCGACCCTGTCAAACTCTGCATCAAAAGAGACCCAGATAATGAGCAAGAAATTAATAGGAGACTAGCCCTTAGGCATTGGGGCACAACCCGAAAGCAGGGGAAAACCAGTGGTGGCAGGGTCTCTGAGGTCACGCCCTTCCACGACTTTTCCCCTTCCACAGAAGGGCAGGTGCCCGCCCACCATCAGTGATGTGCGGGCTGACTCTCAGCAGAGATGCTCTTCCCAACTCCTCCTACAGTGACTGCCAGTTGGTAGCTTCCAATCAGACCTGGTGCAGTGTTGACACCACAGCAATCAGCAAACCCCGTGGGTAACTCCTCCCGCTCGTCTGTCTGTGAGCGGCAGCATAGTGGCTTGGGGTTTCTGTGAAGCCGGAGGCGAGGCCACTGCTCGTTCAAATGCCAGTGGAAGGCCACTGCTCATTCAAATGCCAGTGGACTAACCCATCCAGGACAGTTTTCAGAGGAGCTGCTAGACCAGCGGTTCTCAACCTGTGGGTACCATCACAGGGGTCGCCTAAGATCATCGGAAAACACATAGTAAAGATTTCACAATATACAATTACATATTATTTTGTGATTAACCACTATGTTTTAATTATGTTTAAGTATGTTCAATTTGTAACAATGAAAATACATCCTGCATACCAGATGTTTACATGACGATTCATAAGAGTAGCAATATGACAGTGATGAAGTAGCAGCGAAAATAATTTTATGCTTGGGGGTCACCACCACATGAGGAAGTGTATGAAGGTTGAGAACCACTGCTCTAGATGAAGACAGATCAGGAAGAAGGCCCCCGGACAGCTCCTTCAGACAAGGAGCCCAGGAGAACCCTACGGATCTCACCAAAACACCTTGGGAGACAGGCCTGGATGAGGAGCCCTGTGCTGGACCACATTCAGCACGCAGGGGCCACAGCAACGGGCCTGGAGCAGACCAAGGGCAGAGAGACTGCAGAGGACAGGGTGACAGTCCGTGAGGGTGTCCAGGGGATCATCATGAGTAGGCGCCAACTCAACAGCGATGACCACGGAGGCGGCAGCTTGCCAATCTGCTCCTCCTGTGCCCCAGACGAGCGCTGGCTGTTGAACCTGGACCAGCATGCAGCCGGGGCCAGCGAGTATTGTTGTCTGAGCTCCCACAAGCTGAGCGGTGACTGTTTCCTGGGGAGAGGGAAAAGATACCCTCTAGACAGCTCCTTGGCTTACTGACCTGGGCTCTGTTGGTGTACAGGACTTTCATGTCTTTCAGCTTCTTCAAACCCTCGCTGTAGTGCAGGACAGCCGTCTCGTAGTCACCTTCGGCGAATGCTTCGTTCCCCTTTTCCTTTAGGGCTAAGACGGGAGAAGCCAGCCAGGTGAGCACACGTCACCGGGAAACCCCATCGCCCTGACCCTCCAACTCTACCTTGTCGGCAACAGCTTCCACGGATCGCAGGGGACCCGTCACTGGTTTCCCTCTTCAGATATGAGGGGACTGGATTTGTCACGGAGCCATCTTTTTCTCCCAGTCTCCCAAACCCATCCCCTGCCCCTCCAAATCTTCCACCTAACTTCTCAGAGAAACAGAACAATCATGTTCCTGCCTCGAGGGCCAGAGCCACTGCATGCTGGCCACAAAGTCCGGGCCCGCACGTTCACGGTGTATCAAAGGGCCCAAACCCTGTATGAACAGCTGTGAAGCGGTACCTGCAGTGCCCGAGCCCACTTGTTTGTCCTCCTTTCACACCCCTGCCCAGCTCCCAGGCTCGCCTGGCTTGTGGTCTTCTTCTCCACCTGTCTCGGAGGCTAGACAGTGGCTCCCACTCCATCCATCTGTGTCTCCCAAGCACAGCTTAGCTCTGCCCAGAGCATTTAAGAAGAAAGGCGTACCTCCAGTCTGATCTGCGGACCCCATCCCTACGCTTGATAAAGAGGGCAGGCTGTGGGGGCTGGCCAAGGCTTAAGCACGTCTTTCCTCTTGCTGCAGCCGGCACAGGGCAGAGACTGCCAGGGATGGATGACCACCTGGCCAGGCTCCATTGCCCCAGGGCCATCACAAACCCACTCATGGGGATCCCCACCCACGTCCTCCCCCATCAGCGTATAGGGGTGAATGCTCTGTTCATGCAGATCCCCCAGGGATGGGGAAGTGAAGACGGACAGTTACCCTCGGCGATGACTCTGTTTTCCTGTCTCTTCTTGGCACGTTCCTTGGCGTCCTTCTCTAGAGACACCAAGAAGGCCTCTGGTGGCAGAGCAGAGGGGTTTCACATATTACAAGAGGAACCGAGTGCAGCACTCAGTTCTGCAGCTCACTTTTGGAAGACAGCCCCTTGCGTGCTCAGGAGCCACGCATCTCTGGGGGACAGGCGCAGGCGACAGAATCCCGAGACAGTTTCAAAGTTTGTCATTCAGAGGGAATGGATGCGATGTATTATCATCCATGAGGGTTACGGCTGGGCTTCAAGGATTTTTTTTTTTTTTTGAGACTTTTGCTGCCACCGTTGCTGCTCCGTTTAGCACCATGAGCCGCTGAGTTGAGCAGCCCCCAAACTCTCTGGGAGCCCTGAGCAGCCGAGAGCAAACGGAACAGACAGAGTAAACTCAACTCTGCTTACAGAACATTGTCCAGAAAGAAAGGGCAAAAAGCCAAGCCTCGGAGCGCTGTCCCACTCAGGCCACCGGCTAGAGAACTGGGTGAATCATTGGATTTTGCCCAAGGGTTGCTGGGCAGCCCCGAGGCTGTCCTTTAAGCGTCTGGAAGCTGATCAATAAAAAAGGGATGGGTCCTAGATAAACAAGACCCTTGGGGAAGAGAGCTGTAGTTCTTACCTGAGTTTAGATCATCTGCATTCTGCAGGGCACAGGTCGGCATAAGAAACAAAAACAAAGAGAAGGACTTTTAACATCACTGTCGGTGACTTATGCATCACACAAACCAAGAAGGCAAGTCACTTATGAGTGAGGAGAGCCAGGCCGCCTCCTTCAACCTCCAGTACTCCTGGGCTCCAAATTCTAGGGACCTGATAAAAATCGGGAGATCTGATTTGGGCTCAATGGCCACAGAGAAACAAGGCAGAAGCCAGGTCAAGGGGCCCAGCTGCGGTTGATTGACCTGGGAATTTGAATTCGCACAGCGTAACACCTTACAGCTTCAATGAAAGTCATGAACTCAGACAGGTGGAAGATCAAGGTGTCAGTAGAACAAATCCAAGGGGCTGCTTAGAGATGGCCCAGAAAAACAAGAGGGGGAAAAGAAGAGAGTTTATGTTTCCTAATGGAAAAGACATGTAGTGAATCTAAGCAACACAAGCCTATTTCAGCCTCACCAGACAGTCTGAGGTTAAAGTCCCCCTGCCTCTGCCCGACACAGGCCTCCTCACTGCCTCTCTCTGTGCGGCTCCACAAGAACCCAAGAGGACCTGTGTAGCAGGGTGCGGAGGGCTGATCACGGTCTTGTTCAAGGTGGTCCTGCACACGTCCTCGCCTTGGCCGTTCTCAGTACGCAGCAGTCTCCTTTCTGTCTCCAGGACGGCTTTCTGTTGAACGTCTGGGTCATCAGAATTCATCCCCTGAATTAAACTGGCTAGAAAAGAAACCAGATGGGAGTCACGTGGATGAGGGTCTTCAAAAGGCAAGGATGGTGTGGAAAATTCTATGAGGAGAAACCTCAGAGAGGGTTCTGAGTAGAAAGCAACAAATTAAAACTGGAAATTTAAAATGAAAGCAGAATTCATTGTGCCTGGAGAGAGCTGTAAATAACTTAACTGTGGTCTTTAAGCCAGGGTTGTCAGCCATTATTAAATTCAGCAATAACTTATGGAGCTTTTAGGAATTAGCTATTATGCTGTGTGCTATAGACACAGTTGATGAATGGAAAAGGATTTTTATTTTTTTTACTAGCTTGCAATGTTTTGTAGGCAACTGTGTTAGTCTGGGTATTTTAGAGAAACAAATCCACAGAAACTCATATATATAAGGGAGAGTTTTATATAAAAGGTAAGTGCACATGAAGAAAACATCCCAACCCAGTGCTGCCCAAGCCCACAAGTCCAACATTAGCCCATATGTCCCACACCAATCCACAGAGTCCTCCATCATCTCACAAAACAGATGCAACGATGCCGACTGCAGGAGGAAAGCTGAGTCAGTGAATGTGTAAGCATCTCAGCACTAGCAGGGGTCTCCACACGGCTGCTCCAGCACCCAGGGCTGCATTGGGGTAGGTCCATGTGGCTTCTCCTCGGGGATGTCTTGCAGGAAGTGAGCCTTGCCAGCTGAAGCAGGGAACTGGCCAAGGCAACTGTACCCTGGTGCAACCATCACAAAGCAAGAGACCCAAGAACTGGAAAGGCGAGGCTCACCGAGCCATTTATCTCTCCGCCCATCAATTAACCCCACATGTGTTTTATCAGCCAGGTTGGCACAATAAACCGTAACTATCTTAGGGACAAACATGTAAGTACAGCAGCCCTGAGACCCCAAGCAAAGCTCTTAATGCTCCCAACCAGTCTTCACGTTCCCCTTAGACAGCTGAGTTTCCATGGCCTGGCACTTTGGCCACCATTCTGACACCAGGCTCGACTCCCTTGCCCTCTCATGTCATCTACCTGACAAAACTCCAATCCCAGGTGAATCCATCTCTCCTGGCCTTCGTTAGCGATGTGCTGAGGCGCCCTGATGATGGAGAAAGATGGATGCCTGGAGCGGTTGGTGTCCGAGCAGTTCTACTGTGTTGTCTCGAGCAAGCGATCCTGTCATTCTCCCAAAGACTACAACATTTCCCCTAATAACCACAAAGGAAGATCACCTCCTGGGACCTGCTCCTTCAGTGAAGTGATCTTACGTCTCCATCCACCCAGGAAACAGATGACACCGGAAAGGCGCACCTTTACTTCTTGCCATCAAATCTACAAAATTACCTACATTTGCAATCCTTCCTTTTTGCACCAAGGGAAATAATATAAGAATAATCCCTCATCCTGTGATCATGGTCCCAGCATCCCCTTCTGCACAAGAAACCCTGCACTGCCTTATCTCTGCAATATTTTCAACTTTCCACCAGCCTCTTCCACCGGACCTTCCATCTCCCCCAACGTTCTTTCTCCTCCCTGCCACTGCCAAATCTCTTGAAGGATGTATCTATAATTCCTGTTTCCACTTCTGTATTTCCCACTAATTCAGCAAGAATATTTCCCCCAACATTTCTCATTGTAAAGTATTTCAAACATACAGAAAATAAGGTTTTTGTGTTCATCTCACCTGTGAGTCCCTATGTCTCCTTTCCCAACATGCTTTAAGGTTTAGCATTTGTATCATTCAGTGTTTACTAGAGAACACACTACCCCAAAAGTTGATGGCTTAAACACACCGCCATCTGTGCCACTGAATTCTGTTCACAGTTGCCTGGGCTTAGCTGGCTGGTTCTTTTCCTGGTTTCAGCGGGGCTCACACATGTCTAAGGCCAGCCGTCAGCCAGCTAAGTGGCTCCTCTTCTGAAACTTGGTGGACTGCTGGCTGAAGCACTGGGGTCAACAAGGCCAGTCACCTAGCAGTGGAGGCAGGGGCTTCCAAGAGCGGTATGAATGCAAGCCCCCATGCACAAGCCCATTTCATGCCTCTGCTTGTGATGTTTGCAAACATTCCTTTGGCCAGAGCAAGTCACAATGGCTGGCCCAGATTTGAGGGTGTAGAAAAACAGACCCCAGGCGTGATAGAAAGAAAGCAATTTGTGCTTGTGTTTGGTTTAAGTCAGGTCCCTGGTGTAAATGGTTTGTGATTGGCTGCTCACTGGAAAGATGGAGGTTCAAATCCACCCAGTGATGCTGTAGAAGGAAGTCCTGGCAGTCAACAGCCACAAGAGTGTTGTTGTTCTGTGCTGTGGTGTTGATTCTAATTCATGGAGAACAGCCTGTGGGACGGAGCAGAACGGCCCCATGGGAGCAGAACGGCCCCATGGGACTGCTCGGGCTCAAATCTGGTCTCTTCTCTCTGGCAGAGGCACTGGTTGGGTCCAACACGGACCTTTAGGTTGGCGGTCACGCACTTTAATCCTTGTGGCACCAGGGGGTCTTCCTGTAAGATTACAGCCCTTGGATACCGTATGGAGTGCATTTCAACTCTAAAACACCAGGGCTCGCCATGAGCCATAACTGGCTCAATGACAAGTAATTTGGATTTTTTTATGCGTCTTTTGCAACCTCCTTTTTCTTGTAACATGCTTTAGAAATGTGTTCTTGTGTTCGGGTTAACCTGTTTGAATCCTTATGTATACAGTGAACCCTCGCCACTTCGCGCTTTGACTTCCGC